GCTGCCTGTGACAGCCACCGCATGAAGAATCAGCTGACGTGGAGTACTACGGAAGCGGAACGCAGCCTGAAACATCAATGCGCTTTTATGTATCGAGATTAAATCGACTCACCTTCTTTTAACGAAACAGTAACTGCGATTATATAAGAGATAATAATAGAATAAGACTCATTCTATTGTTATGTTTACGGCGCTTAAAACGAAGCTTGTAAATTAAAATTATACTATAATTAATGTCAAAAAAAATTGGAAAGAATAAGGGCGATAGGAGTCAGGCGCAGAAGACGTCGCACAAATCCCCTACAGCACAAAAGTTGCTGCAATATTGCAGCAATATTGCAGCGATATTACTGCAAATTTTGTGCTGTATGGGATAATACACCCATAAAGCGTAAAACTTATTAGCGTTAAAATTAGTTTTCCATATTTCGATATTTCCAATATTTCCTTTCTTTTTTTTTTCTTTCATTCTTATTTGGATTTAATTTCTGGCATTCATATTCTCGATGTAGGGGAGCTCACCATGACAAGATAACTTTTATTTACAGTTTATATATGTTAGTTTGTGTTGTCTCTGAAGAAGGCTCAAAAGTGAGCCGAAACATGTAAGCGCGTTTAATAGAATAAAGAAGTTTTACGCTTTATATGGGTGTATTATTTGCGCGACGTCTTCTGCGCCTGATTCCTATCGTCCTTCTTTCCAATTTTTTTTTGACATTAATTATAGTATAATTTTAATTTACAAGCTTCGTTTTAAGCGGCGTAAATATAACAATAGAATGAGTCTATTGTGAAGATGGCTTAATTTAAGGCCGAAACGTCTAATAATTTGTGTAACCCGATTATATCTGTTGGAATTGAATATAAACTTCGCTAAAAACATCTTGCGTTCGTGGTATATCCCCTTTATCTTTCCGTTTTAAAAAACAAAAAATTAAAGAGTAAAATTAATTTACATTGATGGAAACAAATACTAATAAAATAATGTTGATTAAGTTAATCAGAATCAAAGTCTCGTTGGTTTCCTCAAAATCATGTTTTCGGTGCGTAGTCATATATTGGTATATCACGCAACTACTCATTTCCATCCGTGGCGCGTAAAAAATGCAGCATTTGCATATCGAACACGACGTATTCTCCTGCACTTGCATATAATGCTCCTCCATCTAATTTGCTGCAGCAGCCAATCTTTTTTTCAGTATAACAATTATGATTTTGACATGCCTTTAATATAAACACACAAATGTATTATTATATTATTTTTATTCATTATTATTACAATCGTCTCACAAATTTATATACTGACTTGTCAATAAATAAATAAACAAATAAATCGTTTCTTCTGTCTCAAGAAAAAGACATCGATTTTATCGTAACAGGCAACCCTGAACAAATTTTCGGCGGTATAAAAAGGGCTCCAAGGGCCCGGAGGTAATCGAAGAACGCTGACATTATCGACAATTGATATAAATTTGCTATTATTAACATAAATTAATACATTATTAAATTCATGATATTTTATGACATAAATGCTCTATAAATAAGTATGCATATTTGTAAAGCTATAATATCCTATATATTGCCGAAAAATTACAATTTTTTTCTCTGCAGTTATTATCTCTGTTGATAATCGAACTTTGACGATAACTGAAATCACAATTTTAAAGAAAAATCGAGTATTATTGAGTTTTAAATGCACGTACACCGATAAACACGTCTACTAAACTAATAAATCATAAAATTAGTACAATATTATCAGTTTTTTTACTCTTAATCACTTCAATATTATCCCGTTTCCCGCGTCCATTCAAATCTATCCTTTTTCGATGTCCAGTGAGTTCAATCCTAAATTTCTAATAGATCCACAAGTCGTCTCTCCATTGGTCGGTTTCGAACACCGTTCCCAAAAACCACTGGGCACAGATAAATTAATAAATGACATTGGCAACACTGATTTCATTAGTTTAAAATTGAATACTACTGCGGGCGCGTAATTACGCGAGAAAAATATAATTTTCAAGAATAAGTGAGATTTAAGTTCATATTTTTCTATTAATCTTTCACAAATGATAATGTTATAATTATCGACAACGCACTAACTTCACGATTATCCGAGCCCATTCGAAATAATTTCTTGAATTACGTTCTCAGATAGATATATCGGGCACGCGTTATTTATCAAAGAATGGAGATGGAAAAATCCGCGAGCAGCCAGATTAATCCTGAGGACATTGAAAACCCGGGATCAAAGATTAATTCTTACATCAAACAGGTGAGACAAATGACGATAATGATAAACTTAACGTCTCTTCTTTTTTCACCCCCAATTTCTGAACTTTACACTGGTCATAATGATACGCTAATAAATTAGAGTGAAACAGATATATTTGTTTCATTTTAACTTATTGCACTAGTTAGAAGAATTCAGAACTAGTTCAGAACTTTTCTTCGAAAAAAAAAAACCGGGCCTCTTTTCACAGCCTCGTATTATAACAATGGCTTATTATAATAAACGTTGAGCGATTTCATAATTTTTCGCTTTTAACATATATATGCTTATAGATTCCGTTCTTTTTAAAAAATATTATTTATATAATAATTTATATTACATTAAAAGCTCTGAGAAAATTGATATTTTAGTTTACAACATTAAGAAAATCGATGGAAAATTCTAATAAAGAAATACGGTACTGGCAGAATCAAAAGGCAAAATTGCTCGAGAGTAATAGCAGCATCGAGATGAATTTCGATAAATTAACGCAGAGTGTGTCCGATCTGGAAGAGAAAATAGTGAAGAATACAGAGATCTATAATGCGAAGAAGCAGGAATTGAAAGAATTACAAATTGCAAGAACGAATATGTTGCACAAGCAATGGTAAACCTTCACAAATTATCGTTAAATATTTCAATCAACACTAAATAAAAAATTTATTCGATTGAAGAAGGTGTAAAAGATGTTTCTACGAAGGAAATTACTTTGAGTGATTATCTCATTTCAGGAATAACTGTTTGTCGGAAACAGGAAGTTACGTGGATAACTTTTGTCAGTGGATGAACTACGTATGATTCTTAACGATTCTTAATATTAATTTTCAGGGTTGAGTAGTAACTATAGTAATAAATTCAAAGTTAAATAAAAGTTAAATAAAAAGTTAAAGAATCAATAATTCTTAACTTAATTTAGTTACTTTTAAAATTTAATTTATTAAAATATTTTTCTTTTTAAGTTAAAATTTTTGTATCTCTCTAAATATCAATATTATTTTTTATAAAATCTTAAATATTAGAGACTATGGCTGCATTCAGCAGAGAGAGCAGCTTTGCAACTGTCGTAAAATTTTTCAATATGATTGATTTATATGTTTAGATCTGTAAGGAACAAAAAGCAAGAGCCAATCGTATTGAAGAATTTTACAATAGTTGTAAAGCTGCTTTCTCTGCTGAACGCAGCCAATTAATTAATTTAGAAAAAGCTCAATGATTGTGTGATAAACGCGACGCTCGTAATACTTAAATGAATGTGGGTTGGACTTGCATTTAGGGAATGTTATTATAAATATTAGTGTTATTATTGTGTCATGCTATTCTTAAAAAGTTTTCTTCGTTTATCCAGAAGAGTATACCTCAGCGAAGGAAACTTTCAATGATTACAAAATAAATTACATTCTGCCAAACGCAGCTATTCTCTGTTTATTTTCATAACAAAGTTATAAATAACGCAAATTCTTTTTTTTATTTTTGAAGTCTAGGGACAATTTGATGAAGGAATTTAATAGTCATCAAAAAGAATGCGGAAAGGTTCGCACAGAACTTGAGAGTCTAAAACAAAATGTAAAGAATATGATGAGAGAATGCGACGCAGATTACACTGAAGCTAATGTGGACAATGACGACTTGTCGAATCTTAACGGTGCAATATCTGACATCAGGTAATAAAGTCTAAAATTTATAATAATCATATTATTTCATTTATAATTATTTGTATAAAATTTACTTATATAAAATGTAACGTTTTTTTTTATGCAGATCGATCAACAATGATTTAACGAGAAACATCAAAGTGGAGGAGGATAGATTAAACAAAATACAAAACAAAATAAAGCAATGCAAAGTCAAACTTCACAAAATCTAAGGACGAAGGAAAATATATTTATTTCTTCTTTTTAATTATTAGAAATAAATTTAAACATTTCGAAAAAGTATACATATAATAATTACATAAAATTAATTAATATATTAATTCAGAAATACTGTTTTGTAAAATACATGTTCGATAGTTTTTAAATAATTTAACTTAACAAATTGATACCAATTAATATACGTTTATACATTCATTAATTATAAAATATTTGTATTAATTGTATAATTGAATATATAATAACCGAAATATAAATACATATTTCTTAATAATTTGAGTGCAATGATCTAAATTTAGGAGCGTTCGAAGTGCTTTAATCGAAAAACGTGGTCCTGTTTTGGACTTCTGCACGATGCTTCTCTTTTTACGGGTACTTTTCAACGAGAAAACGTAGATAAACGCCGCGATCAGACACTCGCGTTCTATTGTAAAGCAGCCGTTACCGCATTCCCGCCAAATTTGCTGAGCGTTAAGAGCGCCAGCCAACAGCCAATAAAAAACGATGCTCCGATTTGTAACCTGCCGCAGTAAAAAGCCCAGAAAAGCCGGTTGTTACGTGCGCGTATGATAATATACGGTGTTGCTCTTCTCTTTGCTGATGCCGCCGTATTATTTCTCTTGAAAAGAGGTAACCGATAAAGGAGTTGCGTTGCTAATCATCGACATGGATCTCACCGACGACAATTTGGTTACGTTGAGCGAGTATTTGAAGCACACTCTCAGCCCAGACGTGAATGTTAGACGTCCAGGTCAGTATAACCTGTAAATTCATTATCTCTTACTACATTTCAACTGTCTTATGCATTTCATTCATTAATATCCGATTTATATTTCAGCCGAGAAGTTCCTCGAATCGGTGGAAATCAATCAGAACTTCCCTTTACTGCTACTACATTTAGTGGATAAGTCTGAGATTAACATTATGATTAGAATCGCTGGAGCAGTTGCGTTTAAGAATTATGTCAAGCGCAATTGGAAAGTGGTTGGTTTTATAGTATTCGTCCACTTTATCGTCCTTATGTTGTATAGTTAATTTATAATTTTATTTATTATAATCCCTGTTTCAGGAAGAGGATACGATGGATCGTATACATATCCAAGACAGAGATGCTGTTAAGAAATTAATTGTTAATCTGATGTTACATTCGCCAGATTCAATACAAAAACAGTTGTCAGATGCGGTATCTATTATTGGAAAGTATGATTTTCCTGATAAGTGGCCGGAATTGATTGATCAGATGGTAGAGAAGTTCAATACTGGTGATTTCCATGTGATCAATGGAGTCCTACATACTGCGCATTCCTTATTTAAAAGATATAGATACGAATTTAAAAGCGACAGCCTATGGACAGAAATAAAATTTGTATTAGATAAGTTTGCAAAGCCTTTAACAGATCTGTTTTTAGTAAGTATATTTAGTAAGTTGTTTTGTGTGTGTTAAAAATATATTTTTGAACGTAAGTTTCTAAATGAGATACTTTGCAGGCTACAATGAATTTAACGCAAGTACACGCTAATAATATGGAAGCCTTGAAGGTTATATATAATTCGTTAGTTATATTATGTAAAGTTTTCTACTCTCTTAACTTCCAAGTAAGTATATATATATTTATATGTATTGTATTTATTTGCGAAATATATGAATCATTTCTACAAATTATATTGTCAACATAGGATCTGCCAGAATTTTTCGAAGACAATATGGAAGCATGGATGAGAAACTTTCATACTTTGTTACACGTTGATGTTCCTTCCTTGCAAACTACAGTAATTTATATTTTTCAAAATATACGTACTATTAATATATCTGAGTGTAAAATTAAAATCTTTTAAATTCGTTTAGGATGGAGAGGAAGCAGGTGTAATAGAACAATTAAAGTCACAAGTGTGTGACAATGTTGGCCTATATGCCCAAAAATATGATGAGGAATTTCAACCTTACTTACCTCTATTTGTTACGGCGATTTGGAATTTACTTACATCCACAGGACAAGATCCTAAATATGACGCTGTGAGTAACGTTTATATATAATATTGTTTGTCAGGAATTCTTTTTAGGAAAAATACATAGACAGTGACTTATTATTACAGTTAGTGTCGAATGCATTACAATTTTTGGCGACAGTAGCTGATCGGGCGCAATATAGACATTTGTTCGAAGATCCGGCAACTCTTAGCAGTATCTGTGAAAAAGTCATTATTCCTAACATGGAATTTAGAGGTAACTATACCAGCATAAATATAATAAATTCGCTTTACTAAATTTCTTAAAATTTTGCAGAATCAGATAATGAATTATTCGTGGATAATCCTGAAGAATACATTAGACGTGATATTGAAGGCAGTGATGTGGATACCAGGAGGCGCGCTGCTTGTGATTTAGTTAAAGTACTGTCTAAATATTTTGAAGCAAAGATTATGGATATCTTTGGAGCATACATACAGGTGAATATAATAGAAAAAATATTTGACAGTGGTTTCATTTTTAACTTAATTTATGTGTTACGATTTACGTATGCATTTAAAAAATTGCACAATTTTTAGGTGATGTTGCAAAAATATGCCGAAGACTCGTCGAAACATTGGCGTAGTAAAGACGCTGCTATTTATCTTGTTACTAGTAGTGCAAGTAAAGGACAGACGCAGAAACATGGAGTTACTCAAAGTAGCGAGCTTGTTTCTATACCGCAGTTTGCTGCACAACATATTGAACCTGAACTAGCAAAACCAGATGGTATAATGCATATGTTTTAAATTAGTAATTTAATTCTTTTTTAGTTTAATGGTTAATTTTATTTTATTTTATTTGTTATTGAAAAACTAAGCTTTATTAACTATTAATTGAAAAAATAATTGCTTCTCAAAGACTTATCAGTACATAGATATATAGAGCTATATGATTTATTGTAACGAATTATGATAATAACAAATTTCAGTGAATGAGTTTCCAGTACTTAAAGCAGATGGAATAAAATTCGTAATGACATTTAGATCGATATTACCTCATGAAATGGTAATAGGAAGTTTGCCGCAATTAATAAGACATTTAGGTGCCAGCAGTATCGTCGTGCATACTTATGCTGCTTGCGCGATTGAAAAGATATTCGCATTGCGGGGTGCTGATAATTTGACTATGTAAGAAATATAAAAGTGATATCTTAAGACTTAAATGATAGTTTGTATAATTGAACACTGAAAATTCTTTAAAATTTTATAGAGTTAAAGGGATTGATATATCGCCGTTAGCAGCAGATTTATTGAAAGGACTTTTTGCATGTATGAACATTTCGGGTTCCGAGGAGAACGAATATGTTATGAAGGCTATTATGAGGAGTTTCGGCATCTTACAAGAAGTTGTGGTGCCATACCTAGCCGATTTACTTCCGAAACTCACCGAGAAACTCGCGATCGTATCTCGAAATCCAAGTCGGCCAAATTTCAATCATTATCTCTTCGAAACTTTAAGTTTATCCATCAAGTAAGTCATCAACGTATAATGATATTAAAATACTCATACAAAAAAATCTTTGCTTATTTCATAACTTTTCCTTTTTATTTTTATCTAACATTTTCTGATTTACATTTTTCATAAAATTTGCATTTTTTTCTTGTAGAATTGTTTGCAAGACAAATCCTGAAGCAACAGGATCTTTCGAACAAGCATTGTTTCCCATTTTTCAAGGAATTTTGCAACAAGATATACCAGGTAAGATATTTATAATTGTATGTACATGTCACAAATTGTAATTGCACGCAAATTAATATCTACGTTCTTTTTTTATTCCAGAGTTTATTCCGTATGTTTTTCAAATTCTTGCATTACTTTTGGAGCTACGACCCACTCAAGATATACCGGAACCATATATGGCTTTGTTCCCGTGTCTATTGTCACCTGTACTATTTGAACGTCAAGCCAACATCCATCCTCTGATTCGTTTGTTACAAGCATTCATTAGTCATGGCTCGAATCAGATTGTAGCGCAGGATAAGACGAGTGCGTTATTGGGAGTGTTCCAGAAACTAATTGCATCGAAAGCGAATGATCATGAGGGATTTTTACTAATACAAAGCATTATTGAACACTTTGAACCGTAAGAATGCATGAGAAAAAGATTTTTATTTTATATTATTATTTATATTTTATTATATTTGTAACAGTTAATATAGTTGTAATACCAATGTTGCAGGAGCATTTTGGAACCGTATATGAGACAAGTTTTTGTGCTTTTCTTTCAAAGGCTCTCGACGTCAAAGACAACGAAATTTGTAAAAGGTCTAATAGTATTTTTTGCATATTATGTTATTAGATATTCGTCGCCGAGCTTGATTACGATTATCGACCAAATACAGCCACAGTGAGTTTCATAAATACATAAAGACTCTTTTAAGGTGCAAAAAATAACAGTAAACGTTTTATATTTAGAATGTTTGGAATGGTGGTGGAGCGCGTGTTTATAACCGATCTACAAAAAATATCGGGCGAAGTAGAGCGAAAAGTGGTGGCTGTCGGAATTTCAAACTTGCTGATCGATTGTCCCGCGATGCTTGAGGCTCCATATAATACATACTATCCTCGCTTATTAGCTAAATTGGTCGAATTCTTTGAACTGCCGCAAGATCAAAGCTTGCTGCCAGAAGACAACTCGTTTCCAGAACTTGATGATGCGGTTGGCTACCAAGTTGGTTACAGCCAACTCATCTGTGCGAGAAATCCTCGGAAAGACCCATTGCAAAGTATGAGTATTCTTTTATTTTATCTTGTCTTTTTTAATATATAAATGTAAATAGATGCGGATTCACTTTCTCTTATTCTTTTACTCGTAACTTTCCGTTCGTAACTTTTCAATTAGATTAAATGTATCCAACTTCTCTAAAAGATTTTTCTAGAAGACAGAACGTTGAAATATTTAAATAGGAATTATTGCATATAAACATATAGATCATTTAATATTACTTACATAAAACTGTTATAAAATATGTTGACAGATATCGGTGACATACGTTTGCATTTAGCTCAAGGCCTTGGAAGATTATCGCCAGGACATTTGCCGGGGCTGTTAGGCCAGATTTCTCAGGCAAATGCAAATCATCTGAGGAATTATCTCCAAACAGCTGGTATTACTGTTGCATAATACGAACTGGATGTTCGAGACAGACTGAAGATCCATTTGATAGCTCGAAAAATGAATAATATTGAACTTAACAAATTGTAATTAAAGAGGAAATTCCTTTTTATATGGTTATTGTACAATACGTGAAATATATTATTCGTATTCTATTTGTAATTTGCAATATTGTAGGAAATATTTGTCATTTTTACACCATAACTTCGACATTCATATATTATTACAAAAGAAAAGAGAAAGAAAAAATACATGTGCATCTATGTAATCGTATTTATATTTTTATGCATACAAATTATCAAAAGTAATTTAAATTATCAATTACCCACATAATTCAGGTTTATTAAACGTCGTTTCTTTTTCTTTAATCATTTATTTAATCAATTTAAAATACAGTTATACATTTTATATTTACATGTAAAATAACATTGGCACTAATATAAATGGTTCCATAAATGTTTATGAAATGCATATTCATTTATTATTAAATAATTTATCCTACTACTTTTGCATTGTTTAAATTAAAAACATTAAATCTTTTCATTCAGCTTATAATACTAAAAAGAAATAGCGCTTTCTAAGGATAGTGAAGCAGTATTGAACAATATTTTATAAATTAGAAATGAAGAAGAAAATATTCTAATATCTACACTTTTTTAAACAGTCAAAAAAATTTACACTAAACTACAATCTTTGATTAAAGTGTCATTAACAAATAAGATATCTAAAAGTACATTGGGAAGATTTTGGTAATTACGTCTTAATACTTTATTTCTTATATATATCTTAAATATTTTTATATTTTATTATATTTCTACCTGATTTCTATCTTTCCATTCTGACAAGTATTGCAGGAAAAAATTTCAAGTAAATAATGTTATTATTTAATAAAATGAATAATTTATCATAGAAGATATTTGAAAGGTAATGAAACAGTTAATGTGCTTGGTGGCTTGTAACGAAAGTACATTCATTTAATTATAGACTATAAAGAAAAAAAATTTTATACTCGAATTTAAAACGTTATATTACAATAATTCAAACGACAATAATTAGAAAAAAGTAATGTCAATATATAATATTCTGTATTAATATAATGATTATGAATGACTGCTCTAAATGTATGGATTTATAAAATTCGTGCAGTAAAGAATATAATATATTTGTATTGCAAATGTAATTGTTTATGCTAATAATGCAACTAGAAACTTTCTCTTCGTCTAAAGCTGAATATTTAAATATGTATATTTTTCTTTTGCAAGTTTAGATGTGCTTCTGTATAAAAAAATAATCTCTGATAAATATCTTTGTAATTTTTAGCCAATTAGTGTCAAAACATACATTCTGACACGTAATATAGGCTATTTCTAAACGGGTATCACATATACGCTTGCTATGGGAATATGATTGGCATCTTGTAAATGTGCTTACAGCGTAGGATATGTAACATATTCGTTACTTTTTTCGTAATGAAGCTACGGAGAATAATGCACGTGCCCTTTGGCAGTTGGCTACATGGCATATAAGAAATTGGTACTTTATTTTCATTTAAAGATCTAGCGCAGAGTGATCCATAAAACTTTTCAACAGACTGCTGGACATCCTGAAGGAAAAAATATTATGTCAATAATCTGATCTGTATAATTAATAAAATTTATATTCTACATTAGTTTTTTTGCTATTTTTTTTATTCTACGGCAGAGTTTACGTAAATTTTCTAAATGATATTAGTCTAGCAAAGTTTTAGATAATGATTTATATAACAAATTACATACTTTTTTACCATATGATCGTAAATGTACGCTGGAATTACTGTTACGGTGATGATGTCTCCACCTTTATCAATCTCTACCGTAACATCTTTGTCCTTCATCCCAACTACGTTCTGTAAAATTTATTGATTTATCTAATAATCGTCTCATTTTTTTCTATTAAATATTAAATGCAGATATCATCTGTGCAAACCTTTCCGTTAATCTCGAGTATTTGATGATCTGTTAAAAGTCCATTTCGTGCAGCCGACGAATCTTTTACTAAAGCAATTATCTTTCCGTTCTTAAATTGAAACCCGATGTAACCCGTACTGTCTTTGTGCATTGTTACAGTACGCTCGAACGGTCTGCAATAAAAATGACATTAAGTGTTACAAGAAATTATGCATTAGTAAAGCTGAATTTTATAAATAAAATAAAATAGCAAATTCTCTGACCTATCACGCACAACAACTTTGATCCCATTGACATCCGCATTACGGAAAAGTTTATGCACTTGATCCATTGAATATCCAGCAACGCATATGTCATTGATACTTAAAATTTGATCACCGAAACGTAATCCAACCATTGCTGCTGGAGAATTTTGACTCACGAAGCACACAAAGACACCATTGTTTATTGCGTGTACGCGAACGCCAACTTTTCCATCACCATCCTTACAAAGTATCAACTGCAAAAAAAACACGATAAAGTATCTTATTAAAAAGCTATATTTTCCTAATTACATGTAATTATGGAATTTAAGAATATTTTGAGAAATATAAAATGGCAGAAATCGATTTAAAAATCAATTATTACCTCTCTGATACCATTTGTTACATAAGCTTTCTGCAAAGCCATAGATTGTCCAGACAAAGGTGCGATCATCCCTGCTAACGGACTGCATGTTACGTCTGTTGAAGTAAGAGCTACCTGTTAAATAATAAAGTTAATTTCTGTATTACAAATCCTTTAAAAACAGACTTTTTATATAAAGTTACAAAAATGAATTTAACAGTACAATCTTATTTATGTAATTGAAAAGGTTGAATTATTCAATGTAATATTGATATACATTATTCGCATTTTGACGTGTGGCGAGCGCATATTCAGGCATATTTTGCGCAATAGTCTCTTCGTTCAGTTCGAGACCCATGTAATCCCCTAAAGATGGATACAGCATTCTGGGTGCGGAAGGAACATAAGTCGGAGCCGAGGGAGTCGTGGATTCAATCGGTATTGGAGCGACATATTGTGATTCGGCTTGTACTTGAGCCTGCAATATTATTTTAATCAACATAAATCGTTATTCAGATATATAGAATGTCTGTAAAAATAATAATAATACAAAAGATATTATTTTGTAAATTATAATATAAAATTATTGCAATACAATATACAGATCATGAATCCTCTATGAAGCTTACCTTTATCATATGATCTACTTTCATATCTTCCAGTGTAGGATAAAGAGACATTTTGAATTTTTTATGAATACCCTGCAATGAAATATAAACATATATTAGTTCTTTTTTATTCTAAGATTTTTTATTTTTGCTATTCGTTGTTTATTCATTCTTTTCTTATTCTAAGATCTTCATCTTTATTTGTTCTTATTAAGAATAATATTATGTCGAAATTTTCTTTTATATACAATAGATACAATAGTTATTTCTATTCTATATTAATTACGACATAAGTAGTCACAAGATCGATATGAGTCAAAGTGGTTTTTCCGTTCATTGCAATCGGAATATTTAACGTATGTATTTTCGCAAACAGAATTTCCATTCTTATTACATTATCAACCTTAAGAATACTAATTTTTGATAGAACAATGAACGAATTTTTATCGAGCTCACAATGACTAGAGGTTAAAGATTAAAGGGATTTAAAAAAAAACAAAGATGAAAAGAACATTTTTAACTAGGGTACATTTAGTATATATTTTTGTATCGTAATTTGCTGTTTAATCTAATCTAATCTAATCTAAAACAAGTAAGTTAGTTCAACAAATTACAGAAATATATATTATATAATTCATCAAACAAAGAAGCAATTTTATGTAGTTTAAAGACACGTATGCATGCAAAAATCAATAATAATACAAGTACCATTTTAAACTTCTGCATAAATTATGAAAAAGTATGAGAAATTTGTTTGTGCTACAAATAGCTCCATGGTTATTCACGATTTTATCATTCCTATATATGAGTCATACTTCCTTTCATTTTCTCTAACATATTGATACTCATACTTACAATATAATATATAATAAAATCAAGTTAATATTTTTATTATACTAAGAAAAAATACATTAAATCTTATTGAGTAACTTCTTTTTTAACTTTTTTTCTGCACACTCTATGATATCTGAAGTGTTAAGTAGTCCAAATTAATATAGAATGGAAACAAATCTAGAATACAAATGGATGTGGGTGATTTCTTGTACGAAAATAAGTCGAAAGTGCAGAATAAACTTTTTTCGTCCGAGGCTTTATTTTCGAGAAAATCATGTGTAAAGATCACGTTGAATGTTCATACACTTAAAGAACGTACGATTTGTGGAAAGATAATGTAAATGTTATCTGTTTACATAACGTTCATATTCCTTCACAAGAAACAGGATTAAAGAAAATGAGACAAATAAGTAAAGTTTATTTTAATAAGAAAGAAATGTTATCCCTATTGCGTAAGCAAAATTATGACTCAGACATGAATAAAAATAGTGAAAGAATCATTCCTCATTGTTCTATAATTTGTTCTGGATAATTGATTATAAGAAATTAAAAAAAAAATAAGAAGAAAATAAGATTAAATGCTGTACAACATATAATTGAAAAGAAACAAAATTTTAATAAATATATATTTGAACAGTTGTAAATAAATATTTACTAAATATAAATTTATATTTATTTGATATAAGAACCATTAATTTGATTTAACCATCATATTTTATTAAGTAAATATTTATTTAAAATAATACTTGGTAATATTTTATTTACTTAGTACTATTAAAAAAAATATGAAGATTTAATAAATTTTTTTTCATTACAATGCATTAAAGCTTTTATTTAATATTTAAATCTCTTGTTAGTTTATATATTATATTTTTATATGAAAAAGTCTTAAATTTTGTAATGGACAGAGGCCTTTCAACTCTGACCTATATCTCAAAACTGCATAGCCTATTTCAACAAATAACATTTTAA